AACATTTCTGGCTAGACTGCAAATAATAACATTAAAATTATATCTTTCATCGAAATCATTGCGTGTCTACAGAAGCTTAGGTTCAGCTTACTCCAAATCCTTTCAAACAACACTGAATTTTGTATTGATTTGTTTGTCTATTCATTCATTATTCATATATTCATGAGGTATTAAGCACTAAAGGCTGCCAGTACTAATAGTCTCGCACAGGCGTATTTGAGGACTGTGGCTTTTAGAAGCAGTTATTAAACGTCTCAGGCAAACACTCTTGTGTTCAGTGGGACAATAAAACGCTAAATGTTTACTGGACATAGTGGCTTGAAGATCAACGGTTTGCCGATTAAACTTCTGCTGCAGTCAATGCTAAATTTTGAATAAATCTTCTTTTAAATACATTTCACAAGATTTTAACATTTTTTTACATGTTTTTAGGCAAGCATTTTTTTCTATTGTTCTTTTATGCATTTCTTAGTATTGTTACACTCTAAAAAATGCTGGGTTAAAAAGGGACAACCCCAGCTATTGGGTTGTTTTGACCCAGCGGTTGGTTTTTAGAGTGTTGCAATAATAAGAAATGCATAAAATTAAAAAATTAAAAAAATGCTTGCCTAAAAACAACTAAATATAAAGTACAGTTATATATATTTCCATACTCACATATATCTGTAGAGTTGGAAACAGTACTGGAAATGTCAATTGAAAATACAAAGAGTAAAGTGACATATCAAAGCATCTGAACAAGCCCAACCCAAGAGTTAATCAGGTGACAGACTAGTTAAACAAGTTATAGTACTTAAGTGAATGTCCTAACTAAGACTGTGAACATTTCTATAAACCAGGTATAGCATATAGGCTATACATATATATTTTATTTTATTTTAGAAATAAATCAATATTATTTATTTAGCAAGGACGCATTCAATTGATTAGTGACAGCAAATACATTCATAATTTTACAAAAGATTTCTATAAAAAGTTTGTCAAAATGTAAATGTACCTAATTGGTCAAATGCTTTCAAGAAAAAAAAAAAGATTAATTCTTTTTTGGTATAATAATTAATAATAATAATTTATGCACTTAGCAGACGCTTTTATCCAAAGCGACTTACAGTGCATTCAGGCTATAAATTTTTTTACCAGTATGTGTGTTCCCTGGGAATCGAACCCACAACCTTTTGCGCTGCTAATGCAATGCTCTACCACTGAGACACAGGAACAACTTATAAGGTCTTAGAAAAAAAAGATAAAAAGTCTGACAAATTATACCTTATAATTAAATACCTTACATTTTCTAAGACAGAGAAGTGACAAAAAATGAACTTGCCCGTCTAGATTTTCTTATTGACAACTGTTTTCGGAGCACTGCACCAGCCTGATTCTGGTTTGCATTACAATCCCACCAAAGTTAGACAAGGTCATTCTAAACATAGCTCTATTGTTGACATCTTCTACATTGGTTCCGCCTGGCTTTACTCCAGACCTCTCATTGGCATTCCAGGGAATCCCAGCCAGGAGTGCCGAGAAAGAAAAAGTGAGTGAGAGATACCCTGACTGATCATCTCGCCAAGCCCTCAAAACCACAAGTCGTCTGCAGTGCAGGAACTTTAACAACCGCCACACTTTTGTCAAACAGGACGGCCCCTGAAACTGATCCATCTAATAAAGCAGCAGGTGAGAGAGGCCTCTCAATTCCCGAATGCAGCTCCAGCACGCCCTTAACAAGCTTCCAGCATGGCTGCCGAGTGTTAAATCACTCCATAAAAATCACAGGCCACATCGCCGGCCTCTCTCTCCATCAGCTGCTGGAAATGAGAGGTCAGGGTGAACGTTCAGTGGTGGCTGGGAAAACCGCAGATGTGTGGTGGGAAGAATCTTCCCAGGAACAACTGGGGAGAGGTTTCTTTATTAACAAAAAATACTAGCACTGACAAACCAGTGTTTTGTCAATGTTTTTCTAGTGGTATTTTTATTACTAGAAATGAAATGGAAGTAGCGGCACATTTCTTCCTCGTTACAAACATCTGAACAAAACTGATTATAAAAAAAGGGGTAAAAAAGTGTGGATGGAGGCAGATTTATATGGAAGCTTGCAGTCAAATTCAAGAAAGGTGCAGGTTCAAACTAACTAAAAGATTGGAGAAGTCTGGTATACATCACCAGAAAGAAGTAATTTCACCGGAAGACTAAGAAGTACAAGGTCAAAAATGAAACATGTATGGACAAAACATTCACAATAAGATCAATAACAATGAGATCAATAATGAAATCGACTGAATTTTCATTTAATGCCAACTTTAAACCTAACTTTGTCAAAAAAAAAAAAGTGGATCTTGGTTTCTAAAAAGTCATAGAAGTTATTACACCGTATGTAGTCTTTTTTTTTTTTTAAGTTTATGAGATTTAAAAATTTTTCCTGATTGAACACAAACTATGGAAAATACATTTAATGTTTGTCAAAACACAAATTTACATTTAGTGCTTGACAAATTTGCATTCAACAACTCAAGTTTCAGGGAGGAATATGCAAAAGTTGATGTTATTTGCAGTGAAGTGTGAAGCGCAGTATGAAAGGTATTTGATTTGTTCTCCTTTGACATCGGTGTAAACACTTCTGATTTCTTCCATATGTTATGCAAACGTATGGCTTAGATAGCAAGAAAAGGCAACAAATATAAAAGGCAAACTTCATTATAAAGAACCTGCAAGCCAAAAAGTTAATGTACAATGAGAGGATAAATCTGGCACCTTCAGGGCTCCACTGAGTAGACGGTAAATCAACCACCATGTAAAGGTTATTTTAGTATTACTTATATATTATTACAGTATTTACTAATATTTTTAATTAGCTTTAATTTTTATATTACAGTTATATACAGTTTATTTTTAGTAGTTTAAGAGTTAGTAATTTTGTTAAGTGCTTTTACATTTTTATTATTTTTTGTTTTAAATCTAGCTTTACTTGATAAAGCTGATATACAGTGGGGCAAAAAAGTATTTAGTCAGCCACCAATTGTGCAGTTATTTATGGTGAACTCTCTCTTTATGAAATAAATAAATAAAAACATTAATGAAAATGAAATTATACTCTAAACAAGAAACTAAAACTACCAGCAGGTGGCGTTAAATGTCTTTGAGTCGATTCGTTCATATGGCTGATTCATTCAGGAATGAAGTAAATGGCTCTCTTTATGAATGGGCCTTTGAATCATTGGTTCACACGATTCGTACAAAACGCGGATTCATTCAGAACCTAAACACCCTTGTGTTGCTCGGAGACGCACAACAATTCTGCTATGGCTTTTTAGGTAATATTTTCATTGGCAAAATTGAACAAAAACACACTATATTGTGTTTAAAATATAGCACAATATTAACTTCTTTACTAAACTAAATCACATTTGTGCTCTTCATGACAAAAGTGTGATATTGCTTTTGCTGCTGGTGTGATATAGCTTAAAAATATTTTTTGGAAAGTTTCTAAATCGGGTTGTACAGTATAACAGGTACACAATCTAGAAATTAGATTTTCAAAAGGCAAAAGAAAAAAACACTTCCAAACAACTTGTTTGTATTTGTATTGCTTTGATAAGGTTGATATCTGACATGGTCAGACTCGATGAGAAACTTCCGAACCACGAGTTCCTTTCAAAAATGATGCTTAAGGAAATTTTATCTGGTCACAGAGGTCACAGCAGGTTGTCAATGGACCATTCCTCAGGTGCTCATGAGGA